ACGTTAGGAAACAAAACTTCAAGAACACGGCCACACAGCCCAGAAGACCCACACCAGCCACCAGAGTCATCTCATCTTTTGCTTTATTCCCAGATCAATTGGGATGGTCCTTACATCTTACAAAGAGCAAGAACATAACTGAAGCTGATTTAGTTCTATTGTGACTATACATCCTACAACCTCTCATAAGCAACAGCTTTTATTTACAGTATTTTAAAAAATAATGCAGTTGATTAGAACTTTTATAGAGGATTCATTTATTTATATTTTTATACTCTACTGCTGGTATATCAATATTAATGAGACTTTTTCTGTTGTCATAAACATAATTGCATTTCCTTGCTTGTATTTTCAAAATAGCTTTATCATTCACAATAAAGACACTTTTTTTAACAACGCTACAAGAAGTAGAATTGTTCATCATATTTTACAAAGGGTGAAATATGAAGAAGGAAAAAATAAAATTGGTAAGTGTGGGACTTCTGCAAAGGTTACTCCATTTTAACCTTTCCTTCTAGAATAGAGTTAAGAAATGCTGCAGCAGTAATATTATTTCTTGATATGATTATTAGCTACCAGAAATTGCTCCTTCCTCTTGTACCTTTAAATTCAGTAATATGCTTCAGAAAAAAATATTAAAATGTGTGTGGGCCATTTGTAAGTTATATCTTATCATGCTGGCACTTTTAAAAAAATAATCTTGCTGCCCACTTTTTGAATACGCAGTCTTATTATATTGACTGATTGATTCATGGGTGGAATATATTATATTCATTCCAGCCTTACCTGTTATATGTTAAATATTTCTGTTTCTAGGTCTCAATCGGTTGCTTACTAATGGCTCCTATGAAGCTGCATTTCCTCTTCATGAGGTATTCTTTCTGTTTTATTTTTCGTAAGTCCAATTGCTTCCCACCATTATTGTCAGTCCATTAATTCTAATTTTCACTATATTACTGGGGGAGTCTAGCAAAGTCTTTCTCATAAGAACAAATGAAACAAAATGCAATTTCAGTTTCTTTTCTAGAAATACTTGCCTTTGAAATTCACAACAAATCATGACAAAAAACCCACAAAGACAGAGTAATTTAAAGGTTTAAATTTATATTTCTGAATATGATGTTCATAACAGGTGACTTACGGTTTTTTAAGTAAAAAACAATGAACAATAGAATGAAAGAATATAAATACAGGACCATCAGTGGAAATTTCAAAGGAGTGGTGTTACTTGCTCATTTTGTTCCCACAGGAACAAACCTTTGCAATCAATCTATGAATTTACCCATGTATATTCCTGTTCTGCTTTTTCTCCTGATGAAATAAAAGACACTTGAGTCAGAATAGGTTATTCTGATTCTTGCTTAACTGAAATTCTGGAAGAAATAACTCCAGCAAGTACAAGATTTATATAGGCAGGCCAGGGTAACAAAGTAACAATGCAAAATCATAGCCACATTAATAAATCAATAATAGCAATAACCCAATATACTACAATTCCCAATCCTTGGACCTGCTGCATATTTGTCTAGGATAGGTGCATGTTTGCACATGCAAGACAGCTGTTCTGTATGCATGTAGCTAAATATCCATTTTGTATAATTGCTAGACAAAATTACATGTTTTAAGAGAAATGGAACTTCAGAAGAAGTTTTCTACACATATATAATAACTGTAGTACTTTTTCTTTTTGACTAACTTCTGTAGTATGTATAACTTTGCTATGAAATATAAAATTCAGCCTTTCCTTTTCAACACTGCATTTATCTTAACACTGAGTTAAGATTTGGGGCTGAACAAGGGGAAAAAACAAGCAGTATTCTTACAAAGGAAGCTGTAAAATTTATGTTTGCTTCTTTGAAATATGGGGTTTACTCAGATATGGGCTCCATTGTGTTCAGTAAGGTATTATCAGATAATTGTATATAGGTTTGTAGTCTCTTTCTTATGTTTCTGAGATAAAGTAGATCCCAAGTTAAGAATCATAATTTGAGTAATAACAGGTAACTTCAGTGATAAATAATGCTAAGTTCCTCTTTATGAATTTGGTGCTCTGACATATCATTATCCATGGATACTTATGTATATTTATTTATTAATTTTTCTTTATTTATTTATATTTTAGGGTAGTTACAAAAGTAAAAATTCCATAAGAACTCATGGGGCAGAAAACCACAGGCATCTGCTTTATGAGTGCTGGGCCTCGTGGGGAGCTTGGTATAAATACCAACCTTTGGATCTTATACGGTAAAATCTTTTAAAAATCAGTATGTATTGGGAATGTATAGGAAACCTAAAATACTGAAATATCTTTTGAGATTTTATTTCAGTTGATTAGTTTATTGTCTCATTTGAGCTTTTGATATTCTCAATATGTATTTGAAACTCTCAGGGGCTCTTGTGAGTGTCAGGACACTAATCTGCCCTGTTACCTTTTCACTAATTGGGTTTACCAGATCATATTTAAGTCACATTGCTGAAAAATATGTCCTGGTGCTGCTTTCTCTGGCAACAAAACTGAAGTCTTACATCTGCACATTACATCATATCAAAGATGATGTAATAGGTCATTACACATTTTTCTGATATATCAAACTGATAGTTAACATGGTAAATTCTATCTAGGAAGGCCTCCTCTGACAGATATTGCTTCTTGTGAGAACTGTGACATTAAGATACGTATATGAGAACTGATTCCTGAAAGCCTTTAGCACATACTATATTAGTGCAATGAAGAATTTCAAACAGTTTACAGTGAGTGTACAGCAGAAGCACAGGAAACAATGCAAGTTCAATTAAATATCTGCACGGAGTGTATGACTCTTTCCAGCCATTCAGAGAGAGTTCTACTTACTTCCCTTTGTTCTGTACAGTCATTCATGCTGAACTAGACCACTGATTAAAGTGATCTTTGTGCTGCTAGATAATTCTGACAGGGCTGACCAGTGGAGAAGACAACCTAAGGAGACTTTGCTCATGGCTACTGCATCCAGCTCTACAAAAGCTTATTTAGGGATTCTCAAGTCTTCTAGCCCTAGGATCCAGTTGAATTTCTGAAATCACCTGTATAAAATGGCAAATGCCTACAGTGGCAAGTAGTGGAGTGCAATAATCCACCTAGAGCAATACTGAGATTCAGAGGGGCCCCTGTATCCATAGAAACACTGTCTTATGTGACAAATTTTGCTATGCAAATTAGTCCTAAAGATCTTGAGGCAGCAAAGTGAGAAGCAGTATTGCCAAAGCATGCATTTCAAGCCCTCATGGGAAATTGAAATTATCTCATGAAAATAATGTTTTCTTTATTTTTAATACTTCTGGGCATTGAGTGGCAAAACTGCATTGTCATATCTATCAAAACAAGATTGGATGAATGAAGAGGCAGAACTATTGACATTATTATATATAAGGACTGGTCTGAATATTACTCCACTAGTGATAATTGATTTTTGAAACAAGTGGCATTGTGATATTCAATATTGCTTACTTAGCTGCACTGATATATGCAACTGCACCAATAAAACAGCAATATTCTTTTAAAAATAAGGATGTGGGGATGAGATCTTATTCATACATGGGACGTTCACACGTTTCTGGGCCTAAATTAAGGCTGGTGTCATTTTGCTTTGGAAGCACTGCATCACTGGTATTTTTAATCACTGGGTTTCCAAATCTAACTATAGTTCAGGGTAGTCCAGGAAAATCATTTTATATTAAGAACCAATATTAAATTCTATTTCAAAAATGCTAATAATGCTGTTGCTTTTGTGTTTTTGAACAGGCGGTATTTTGGTGAGAAAATTGGTCTGTATTTCGCCTGGTTAGGCTGGTATACAGGAATGCTCTTTCCAGCTGCCTTCATTGGACTGTTTGTCTTTTTATACGGAGTAGCCACACTGAACTACTGCCAAGTCAGGTGAAGTCAAGCTGTTTATTTTATTAAGAAAACATTGTATATATTCCTGTGCTGATTGCCAAAATAATTGCATTAATTGCTACTTTTTTATTTTTAAAAAATCGCTATATCCTCCTAATTGGGTTATGTTTAATTTTTCTTTAGACTCAGAAGATGGTTGATAATATCTTTATGAATAGGTTGGAAGGTGGTGGCACTGCTAAAGGGCTTGCCCTCCTAAGAGATATGTTGATTTCTTTCTTTCTATGTATGATTTATTTTAATAATCTCTACTTACCTCCACTTCCTCTTTCTGATCTATTATATATCGCTGTTCTGCTCCTGCAGTATGGAAAGCTTCTACTTTTTTTTCCTGCTGTACACGTGAATCTTAAATTATTTTGAATGGGCAACCATACAATATTTTGCATCTGCTGACAGACTTTGCATAGCTATCCCTATGTCAGAAAAATCCTATTATTTGTTTAACAGGCCTTTACCCAATCCAACACTAATCACTGTATCATTCTGCCTCTCAAACATTGATTTATTGATTTAACTTCATGATAATAATCATAAATTCCATGTGTTCATTTTCTGTGAAAAAAAATTTACACAGCTATTTTCCTGTTCCAACACTTACATAACTTAATCTATTAACAAAATTAATCAGAAACCTTTTTTCTCTCCCTTCTCTGCTCCTATCTTACCCTCTGCCTATGTCTCTTTATCCTACTTCTATGTCCCCATACCCTCTATTATTTACTCAGATGCTTTAATTAATTTAGGTTGTTCCTTTATTAGCCAAAGTGATTTCCATTAATAAAATGGGGCAAATATTTTCTAGAATATTCTGTAAATGATAAATGGTTAATTCCTTAACAGTCAAGAGTCAAAATGCATTACACGCTATGGATTGATTCACTTGTTTCATCATTCCGATTTATTTGTTCTGTATGCAATTTTCTTTGGTAAAATAAGGTTTTTTTCGTGTTCTGACTTGTAATGATGCTTATCTTGGTAACAAATTATGGCCTCCCAGAGTGTCACTTGTATTAAGATGGAATGTTAAAGGTTTTTATACAGGCTAAAGTATTCTAAAAGTCCTAAATAATGAAAGTTAACCATCCCAGGAGAATTTAATACAATCATTTCAATGAGAGAGACAAAGGAAAAAGTCTAAAGAAACTTTGGAAAGCAAAAATGTAGTATCATTGCTTCTTGTCACAGCAAAGAAGGCAGGAAGTTTAAAGATGCCCCAGTTATGTCTCTCCCATCACTCCTGTCTGCGGCATAGGGAAGCATCTCAAGGTTCTGCAAAAGAAATATATTTTTAGGGAAGCTAGTCAATGAGGGAATAGTATCATCTAATGTGTAACGTTCATAGATGGGAATTGGTATATAAATGTGAAGAAGATTGTACACCTGTTGAATTTAATGTGTTGAACTATTGATTGATGCACCTTTAAATTAACTTTGAGCCAAAAAGAAACCATTTTATTGGTGCAGTTATTACAGAAAAAGCCACCTTTTCTTTCTTTTTTCATTAGTGTCTAAATAATGGTAGTATTCTGAAGTATACTAGTTAGAACTTGAGTTAGTAATTATTATCTCTTCTCTTTTTCAGTAAAGAAATCTGCCAGGCTACAGAGATTATTATGTGTCCGATTTGTGATAAATACTGTCCCTTCATGAGGTTGTCAGATAGCTGCATGTATGCCAAGGTAAAAATAAATACTGCTTTTCTTTTTCCAGCAATAGTTTAAAAAATATATATATTCTAAATAATCTAAAAACATTACTTGCATTTAAAAAAAAAATTGAACAGATATTTAATTTAAGCCTGTGCAGTTGAATGTAACACCTTCAAAGAGCTTGCATCTTAAGGTGTTAAAATATTAAGCATATTAAAATAGTAAAAAAAAAAAAAGGATTTGCTATGTATATGGTTGCTGATAGATAAATACAATGAGAGAAGAATAAGGAGAGGTCAGCAAGCTATTAATGTCTACAGGTCACTATGGTTCAGTAAGATATTTTACTTACCATTCTTTGGAGAAGTTCTATGGTAGATGGTATAGCTCAGTTACCAGTAGATAGAAAACTTTCCCTAAGAAGAGATTGTGTTCTTAACATTTACACTAAGGACCACTGAACTTTAAACAGATTTCCTAAGCAGAATAGATAGAAATAAAAATTGATATAGATAGGACTATGCTATGTTTACAAATCAGAAAACAAATAACGTGAATTAAGAAAAATTAAATGAATTTACATTACAATTATTTTTCTCCAGGTAACACATCTTTTTGACAATGGAGCAACTGTTTTTTTTGCTGTTTTCATGGCAGTGTGGGGTAAGTGATGTTTAGGGAATAATGTCAACTTAATTGTGTTTAAAATAACTACATGAAAAATCTGCTTAACTTCAGCAGACTTAGCTCAGTGATATGAAAATCTTAATAAATGATTTCATCCTTTTGTCATGTAAAAGAATCCCACTGAACACATTATGAATTTTAATTGCATGGCTGTACAATTTCCTGAAACAGATTAAAAGATTAAAAGTCATAAAAAGATGCCCTTGAATCAAGCTTGGTTCCTGGGAATTATGTGGACACTTCTGGGCAGCTTTCCAGGCTTCAGGATAGAAGTCATTCACTATGGACTTTTTCTGAGATGTTTTTTCTACTCCTAGTGTAGTATACAGTACAGATATAGGTTTGTTAATCAGGTCCAACTCTACTTATCTTCTGAGCCCAGTTAGGGTTAGCTACATACTGTTACTTCTTTTGACAATATAGAGCAGTGTTTCTCAACCTTGGCAGCTTGAAGATGTGTGGACTTCAACTCCCAGAATTCCCCAGCCAACATGCTCGCTAGGAAATTCTGGGAGTTGAAGTCCACACATCTTCATGTTGCCATGGTTGAGAAACACTGATAAAGAGTAACCTGTGGGGAAGAATTGCATTAAGCACCAGCAAAATATATTGCAGGTATATGATAATGACGCATAGGACAATCTTGTAGCTGTCAACCAAGTCCATCAGTTCAGAGATTGTTTGGAAACCTATATTTGTATGTACTTTTTCTCCCCTCTTCTGTCCTTTAAAAGTAAATACTTCTGTTTTTACTGCCCCTCATATTTGAAAGTAAGTAGGAACAGTAAGATTTTAAAGTCTTATCTTTTTTTTTTTAATTCAAAACAAAAGAATTTTTCCATGGGAAGGATTCTTTATAATTAATTTCAAAATCTTATTTCAAATTTATCTGGACCCTTAGTCCATTTATAACTTTCTAAAATCAAAGGTTTAATTACTCTTTTGCTGTTTATTCCAGAAAAAAAAATTAAGTCCTTAAACTTGTTTTAAAACTTCTTTCGCTAAGGATTTAGACTGGATAAGTGTTGTAAAACTTGTCGATCCAAAGGTTCCTAATAGCTGAAAAGCAGTTAACAAGTAATTCCATAAATGATTAGAAAAGGAAGTATGCGAACCCAGTGTCCTTTCAAAAGGCGCCGACCTCGGTTTGAGCAAGATGGCTTTCCCTCATCTCCCAGAGCTCTAAAGCTGCTGGAAATCACTGTCTTGCAGTCTCCTCATGAGGAGCAGCTGTCTGGAGCACTTGTGGGTGATCTCAAGTCCTCTCCTTGTCCAGAGAGGAATTATGAAGAGCCAGTCTAACTTGCTGGCTCTTCATTCCGCCACGGTTGTCGGCTCCGCTTTTTACAGAGATGTCTTCAGTTTGCCATTTCTTCCCTGGAGGTCAGTATAGGACAGCAAGATAACTGCAAGTTTTTTTCTGTTATTAGGAGACATAATAGAAGCATGCCACATAATTAAACTGTAGATTGGAAAGGTATGATCTTTTCAGATTCTTTGTAATCCAGATGGGCAGCAATGAACAGAATGCACTATTATCTGTCATTCTCCACTTAAATTCTTGCATTAAAAACATATGTTAGAAAGATGTATCCAAAAGTAGGTTTGTATTTGGGAAAGTAACATAAAAACATTTTTGTTGGCACATTAGAACAAGTCTTATACAAAGCTCCATATATTAAGATGAAATATGAATAACGCTCTATAGGATTTTTCCCACAGATTTTTTTAAGTGCAAAACAAAATTGACAAAAGACAAAATAATATGTGGAAACGTGTTACACTGACCTTGACGAGGTTTATATTGATTCACATATTCCTATCTATATATTCTTACTATGATATCAGTTACAATAGATTTCCATGCTTTATCTTCAGGGAGCCTTCCAGCTTGAATCTCTGCCAAAAAATACCTAAGTCACGCAACAGGACCAAATTATATATTGCACAAACCATTTTTTTTTCTTTTTCATTCTTTTCAACCCAGCAAAGTGTTGGAAAGAAATTATGTGAAGGGGCTCAGTACTATGTCTGTATGTCTATATGTGGCTCTCAGCAGAATATCTCTCTGAACAGGACCAAATTTGGCGTGAGGGTAATAGCCAGCAAAAGAAAGACTGACTTTGAAAATGGGCTAGATCTGGCCAGGGCTGCAGAGAAAAGATAATTTTTAAAAATCCCCCATTCATCCTTATGAGAGAGGAAGCCGGGCAGCAGCTTGGAAGTCTTAAGCCCCATCCTGGGTTTCCCAGGGAAAACTGAAATTCACAGACACAGCACAAGGGGAAAACAGAAACAGACACATACACCTAGAAGCTACCTACCTACCTACCTACCTACCTCTGTGTGTGTGTGTGTGTGTGTATAAACATACATATGTACATACACATACACACACAAACCCACCCTCATTAGCTCCTGGAGAGAACGTGCACACAGGTATAGCATGCTGCTTCATATTGGAAAGAATTTCAGAAGCCACGGTTGGCATGCTTTCCCTTCATTGCTTAAAACATCAGCTTAAAACTGGCCAATTTCTTTTTCCAAGAAAATGCAACCAAGAGGAACTCAATTCAGGCTGGGATTATGGCATATAAGAATGAACCCTTTTCCTCCTTCCTTCCAGTTTCCTACCATATGCTGTTTCGGTGCCTGCTGGTTGCTCCCAGGTACAGTGATATATGTAATAAGTACCATTATAAGAGAAATAGCAGCTTAGGAGACATGAGTTGGGGCAATGACAAGGGTTACACTTTCATCCCCGTTTGACACAATCTGGAATTACTATTATTATCCAAAAAGGGCTCTACATCCATCCTAACCCAAGGTCTGGGGGAATAACCAGGCTTGGTTATTCTTGAACATCATCAATATGGGTGGGAGCCATATGAATGTCGAGGTGGGGGGGATGCTGTTCCTAGCAGCAGGAACTACTTGCCTGAGAAAAACAATCTGAGCAATACAAAGCGTTCTGTGCAAACTGAGAATTCTGTCCTGCTGTATTCGTTTATAGGACTGGCGAAGACATTTTCTTTTTGGGAAAGTTTGTCACTAAACAACGAATTCTAAACTTCTAGAGAAATGCTAAGATTCAAAATAAAAACCTTGGTTCCACAGAGAAGACTGGGAGTCAGCTTCCTTCCATTCTTCAATATACCATGATTTAAATGGTATAGTCTTAACACTGTTTTATACATGTAAATAACAATTTTGTATTCTAGGAGTCGAAAGTGACTTGATGGTGCATAATTAATCAGTCAATTAAGAATGTTTCAGAAAATACCTGTCCATCATGCTCATGCTTCAAAATAATTGCTTTCCTCAACTCAAATTAACAATACATTTTTAGTATATTGCACTTGTTACAGTATAACCTTTGCTACTCATTCAGCGCTCTACCAATGCAGTCCACCTGTTGGTGGCGGTGTTAATAGTCTTAGATTTATATTAGGAAAAGTAGCAAATGTTAATATCTTTTGAAATATTATGGCTGTTTCTTTTAGTTAACCAGCTGGATTAAAGGCACTACTGAATTTGAGTAAACTTATTTCTGTCTAATAATAATACCTGTCTGATGTGCAAAGTTATACAAACTTACTCATTTTGTATAACTTACCACATCAGACAGATGATGGTGATGATGATATCAGAAACAATTTTTGTTCTTGAAATGTCAGCGCTATACATTGGTAGGGGAAGGGTTGTGTTCAGGAGGAGAGAACCACACTTTGCTTGTGGTCCCACGTTTGACCTGTGCATGTCCAATTAGAGCTGAGTGTTCTCTACCGCTACCCTTCTGAGTCAGTCAATACTGAACTAGCTGTACCAAGAGAGTAACCTGGGTAAAACAGCTTCCTATATTGTTCATTTCCTACATTTCCCAAGAATGGAGGACACTAAAATACTAGTGCTAAGAAGCTTAGAGAACATTCCTCTTTCTGTGATTTTTCCATTACATGCTACACATTGCCATTTAGTATTTGGTGAAACATTTTTTAACATAGTAACCACATTAATCAGAGGGATTGATATGCAGGTTCTCGCTGCAAAGGAGAAATACAGAGCTTCAATAATATGACCAGATATATTTTTCCTTCTATTTTTCCGCTGTAGCCACTGTTTTTTTGGAATTTTGGAAAAGAAGACGAGCAGTAATTGCTTATGACTGGGATTTGATTGACTGGGAAGAAGAGGAGGTGTGTATAGATAACTTGTCACAATTTTAACCGGTGTACTTAATAGACCCAGTCAGTTGTAATATAAACCAAAATTACTGAAAATGGTTCCCTGCCACATAGAATGTAAGAGTTTGTTTCCCTGCATTTCTTTTAGCTCTTCTAGTTTGTGTTATTTTAGCTGAGTCACTGTCATAGCAGAAGACCCAAATCAGTCAAGCACTTCTGAAAATAAAATGATTGGCAGCTGTAAAAAAACAAGGCCAAGCAATGTTGAGGAATCTGATGCCCATTTCTTGCTGAAAAGGCAAACTCATGTAACAGTTTGGACAATCAATCATTCTATAGCAAGTTTAGAGTAAGCATTGGGGCTATGCACAGGCCTTTCCCTTACCTCCTTTCATGGTAGCTTCAGCACTTTGATCCTAGTTTATTTAAACTAGACTTCCTTATTACATCCAAATTGGGCTCTCTGATTTAATGTCCATTTCTTAAAAGGAATTTTAAATTACAATCTATTATCCTAATTTGTAATTGGAGATTAACTGGAGTTCCCCATTTTTGAATGGAACAGGAACTCTGGTTAAGTAGACCAGCATTAAAGCAGCTGCCTTACACAGGTGTGGAGTGGGGAGGGGAGAGGCAGAAGAAAGAGAAATGTGCAGGGCCAATACTCATTCTTTACTTGCTGCGTCATGATTTTGCAGATCAGAATTCTTATGTCATTTGGACCGCACCATTTCATAGTAGGAACACACACAACTGACAGCTTCTCCATGGCAAATGTATGTGAATATACATGCGTACATGTGCTCACATTGTGCTTGCATGTGCTGGTAAGAGAAAAACCAAAATCTTCTGCTTGCTGATGCACTTGAGGCGTCAAAACTATCAAAGAATTTGATCTGTGGCAACTTGATACACATGTTCACTTCTGGATTAAAAAATCCTTTTCTCAATAAGTAAGAACTTTGCTCTCAGAAGCAGAAAAGCAAAGTCTCTAATGAGCTATCATCTTTTTCTCTGACTTAAATATAGAAATTAAGCATTTTTTCAAGCTTGTATTAATTACTAATATCTGTTCTCAATTCTCCTATCTTATTAGGCTTAGCATATTAACATTTTGTTGGTGTAATCTTTTGAATCTCCATTTTATACATATTTAAATAGCACTGTTCACAAAAATGAATTGATTCAATAATGTATTTGTGGCAAAATATAATTTTTAGTTGCAGATATTAAGATAACAGTGTAGTTTCTCTTACTGACAGCAAACCAATCCAGATTTTTTTCCAAGAAAATAAGGGCCTAATTACACAGTGTGTCAACTGCATGGTTTGTAGATACATGAAGGGATGTGTAAAATGTGATTATGTGTGCATTTGGAGTTCTTTTGGTATCACAGCATTCATAAAAGAAAGATTGAACCCTTCAGTCCCCATATGAGAACCAGGTCAGCACTCTGCTTGGAGTGGTAATTGGCCAATATGTTAGTTTCCCAGAGGCGATACCAAACATCAGTGTTATCTTAGGCCATCTAAGAAGGTAACCCCCATTATGGAATCAAGCAAAGCAGCAGCTCAGAATCAGCTCCCATAAGCACAGCTGTTGGGTAAAAGAAGTCTCAGATGTCATAGAAAGAAGAGAGTGCAATGAATGAGTCATAGTGGCAAAAAGTAGCAGCAGGGCCAAGGATGCTTATCTTAGTAGGTCAAGCAGTCCAGACAGCTGAGGACAGCTCATATAGGGTCCTTCTGTGATTCTAGGTTCTCTATTGGTGCCCAACCACATGGATTTCTTTCTGGCATAGCTGCAAATCACTTCGTTAACACATCATAGTTAACCTTCTACTGTCATGTTTTGGTGGTGAAAGGCCACAAGAGGGAGGAAATAGTAATTTTCCTGAATTTTGAAGAATCTTCCTATACTGTACTGCCAAAAACTAAAGGAATCCTATAGCTTTGTAAAGAGATCTGCCACCTCTCCCTGAAGAACTGCAGTAGCTTTTTATTAGTTTCTTAGCAATCCTTTAAAATATTTTTAACATCTCTGCCTATTGGCCAGATTGAATGAAATAATGTACTAATAAAAACTTTATAACATTATTAAAAGCTTGAGCTCTCTAGACAATTATATCTAATTCTTTTTAAAATTCTTCATATTATATTCTTTAGGAAGAAATACGCCCCCAGTTTGAAGCCAAGTACTCCAAGAAAGAGAGAATGAATCCTATATCTGGAAAACCTGAGCCTTATCAAGCATTTGCAGATAAATGCAGCAGAATTATTGTTTCTGCATCTGGAATATTTTTTATGGTTTGAAAATTTTAATTCATTTCATTTTTCCTGAAAACTAGATTTTTAAAATGTCAGTAAAATGGAGAGAGTGTATATTTTACAGCACCATTAAGCCACCTTGGTTTTTGGTTTTTGTTTGTTTTCCTCTTTAAAATTATTTGTGTTACAGAGTATTTACATTCTAGAAATATAAAGGGATTTAAAGTAATATTCAGTAATATTATTACTGAAACACTTATTTGCTATCATGTTTAATTAAAATGAAATTTAGGAGTGATCAACTTAAAAATGAAAATGAAACATAACTCTAGCATGTTTTTTAAAAAGCTCTGACAAGGGAAATCTGTTACAGGAAAGTGTTATTTTCTAATATTAATGCAGATTAATTCATGGTATTGTGTGATATGTTTGTGTTCTCCAGGCATACATGCTATTGATTCTGTTTTTTTTTTAAAAAAGGAAAGCCTATTCCCAGAATCCAAGCTGATATTGAATGCAAAATTCAGATTTACTATTTTTTAGAGTAGAATCAATTATATATTATGTGAACTTGACTGTCAAGCTATCTAAACACTTACATGAATGAGTGTTGGCTGGAGAGGGGAGGGGCAAGGTGGGACAAATGACAACACAACTAATGACATAATTACATAATGATTATGGCCTTGTGTCAGAGTATCTGATACAAGTAATCACAGCATTCATGCCATGACATCATCACACGCATATCATTTGGCATCATCATAGTTTCCTGCAGATGCCACTGCTTGCATAAGGTAATTGTAATGTTTGTGGTAGGGAGGTCTATTCACTTTTGAATATATTCATGTGAAGGGGAAAAAAACCTTATAACTTTAGTAGCTCTAGATTTCAAAACAATGAATCATGTAGGCTAGATAAACAGTTTTCCTCAGGGCTGTTATTTATCTGAGCTTAACTTTATCTTATAATTGATAGCCTGAAAATTATTGTTCAACATTTAATTCAAAGTTAATTAAAATTTATTATTTTTTTAAATGTATTTTCCAAATATTGAAAATATGTCTGTTTCAAACAGCTGAACTTCGTTTTATAGAGGCCATTCAGTATTAAAATAAATGGAACCAGCCTTTATTTTACAGTACAGGGAATTGAATGTTACTATGAGTTGTTCCTGTTCTATAAGAACTAAGGACTTTTCAAAAGCCAAGGGGTGTTATTAGCTGCTTTCATTTGGCTTTCACTTGCTTCTTCTGATCTATTAAAAAATGAAGCTCAGTGAAATATTATTTCCTTGCTTTTGTTGATTATCTCCTATATTTTCAATAATAACGGTGTCTATCAAATAAGTGCTTCAATATCTGTAGGTCCCAAAGCACTCTATAATTATTCTGTGTTGTGCCTATTCCAAGAATTGGACATCCACATTTATGGCAATGGTCCTTGCTTCATTCTCTCAGTTCTCATCTGAGACTTGAGTTCTTTTTTTACTGTTGCATATCAGTGTTAATTGACTTTTTTGAGAAGAAGGGTTCATCATAATAGGTTGTGTTCTTGTAATAAAATCTCACTTTAGCAGAGCAATTAAGCAAATTTCTTTATCTCTTTTAATCAGAGAAGCAATTAAGAAACCATTAGTTTAATTGCTTTTCTGAACCTGAGCCTAACTGAATCCTTCAGAGAAAGACTAGAGAAAACTGCCAGCCATTGGATATGATACAAGGTTAAGTAACTTCACTGAGAGAGAAGAGGGAGAAATCCTCTGTGCCCATTCAGGGCTGCAAAATGTTGCTTACTATAATAGTTTTATCTCTAGGTGAAATTGTCAAATATTGCCAAGTAAGCCTGAATATCAAATTTCTTCTGGATGGCTGCCTGGGAAGAAAAATAATGTTCGTAGAAAAATATGAGATCCAGTAATAAATCTGAACAAGATTCATGAATATTACATGTAATTCATTTTAAAAAGTTCTGCAGTATAATTCTCCTCTTCCAAAGTATTGTCACTTATATTTGCCAGGGAAGGAAATGTTGAGCAACCTGGACTTCCTTATATCTTATTCCCCTGTTCCCATTGCTTCCAACTGGCAAGCTGATGTAGCGATGGGGTTATCCTGGGGCCCTCTAGAAAACAAATAGCATTTCAGTCTCATCGATCCAAAACTGCTAGGATCCCATCACAGCTTGGATTCCATCACCACCTGACACACTTCCCATCACTGCAGTTATGCCAGTGGAACTTTCCATAGTTGTAAGTAGATTGTCCAGATCTGATATTAACCTCTTCCAGAAGGGTGGGGTTCCTTTCTCTGCTGTGCCATGAGACTGTTCTGTTCATCACTTCATGTCTTAACTATTACATATATTTATATTTACTTATTTCTAAAACACCATTACTACAAGAAAAAAAGATCTACTTACTTTGTTATTTGATGTGACATGTACAGTATGTATGTGAGTAAAGCAGATGTATCCTTTTTTAGGATGGTACCTGGCATGCAGTTTTGGTTCATTTTTGCCTTGATGTGTTTTTGAATTATGATGCCTAGTTAATTCAGAGCATTTTTAATTTGATTAAAAATAAACTTAATAAAATAAGATAGTTGATTATTCAGCTAAATAGATAAATTTTAGCTAATAAAGATAACTTCACTGTTGAAAGCTATGCAAAAAAAATGCATGCTTTTATTTCTTTAAACATTATGGCTTTCTTCATGAAAAACAAATTCCTAATTTTTAAAAAGGTTTTTAAAACTTTTTATATAGTTCATTATATACATTAAAAATACATAAAAATACATTTAAAATGACTTAGAGTCAAATTTAAAATAATCCCTCCCAAATATACACTGGGTTTTTCCCTACATACAGTGTTTGTAACCTTCCCAGAATGGCTTTGTGCCTGCACAGCCACACACCATCAGTCCCACTGGACAGCATAGTGGATTAATTTCTGATCCTGTTGCATCACCAGTTGAACTGCTGGGAACACAATTTGCAATGTGAACACTAGGGCTACAAGGTGGCAATTTTGCTGTTGTGGGCTTCCCACCTTTCCCCCACCCCATATCTGAAAAGCAGTCATAAGTGGCTTCTGAAACAGAGCAAAGGAACAGGTTTGTCGTTCACCCTCCCAACAACAGAACCTTTTGTTGTCAGTCACCCGGGGAGGACACAGCATGAAGAAACAATAGAGACTGGGACTGAGATGCTGGCTCAATGTCAGTTTTTCTTCTCCTTCATTAGTCAGTTGGAGGAAGTGATGGTTGATTCATTGGAAGTTCTAGGCATTGGTGGTTAAAGTAAAGATAAGCCATTTAAAAATGATGGAAAAAATTTGGAGAACCAAAATCATGGCTGTATAGAAGTGTCCTTTATGTCATTTTTCCCTAATCCAGCCAATTTAATTACACATGGATGGCATCAATTTGGGGAACATTGCACAGTATAAAAGCAACTGCAAACATATGAGCTGATGTTAAAAGATCAGAAAGCCTGGCTTAAAGAGGACCTTCTCTTTTGTTGGAATCTCAAGGAAGCATAGATCTAGTAAAAATCTTTGAGGATGGTATTCTATAAGAAAGACTCCACAGTGCACAAGCATAAAATTCTATTTTCCAAAAATTAAATTGCATAATTGACCCTGTTGGTCTGATACTTGGGCTCTTGAACATTTTTCTTGTCATGATACTGATAATAGGAAGAGATCACATTAAAATGAGGAAGCAAATCAGTGACAAATCCCCACATATCCCACACCTCAATTCTTTTAAGAAAATCAGAGTACATTTGTAGATTACTTACTTGGATTTATTGTTCAATTCTTGAGAGCTACTGTACTGGTTTTAAGCTATACTATGTGTTCTTTCTACCACCCCTTTCTCAATTCCTTAGATCTGTGTGGTGATCGCCGCTGTTTTTGGCATTGTTATTTATCGTGTTGTGACTGTCAGCACTTTTGCTGCCTTTAAATGGGCTTTAATCAAGAATAACTCTCAGGTTGCAACAACTGGGACTGCAGTGTGCATCAATTTTTGCATCATCATGCTGCTGAATTTTGTAAGGAGGTTTTTTCACACCTTGATTAATTTCAATCTGTGTTTAGGTTGTTTCTTAGTTGTACTCAGATTTGTGTAACAGGGAATAGGCTTCTCAAAACTATAGCACAACTTAGCTTTTAATATATGGTAGTTTAGCCACAGTCTGTTTATATTTTTAAAAATTACTTATATAGATCTATTTTAGATGTCTTCACAAAATGTTTTACAAATGCATACACATACCACACACACAAAAAATAACGCCTTGCATCCTAAGAAGCATGAGTTGGAAATATGTTTAAATAAGGGGACCTCCACATTTCCTCTTCAGTGCACTTTCAAAGGGAGGGAGGGAAGGAGACATACTGTAAGACATAGGGCATTTTTACAATGTGAATGGACTATTTCTTCAGCAGCTCATTTTATTCAAGAGATGCAGACAATATTAAATATTTGACCAAAGAAAGGGCAGTGACTGAAAATTGTTTAAAATATAAAGTCACAGCCTTCCATTCCATTTAACTTGGTTTGGAAAAATAGTTTGGGAAAATAATGTTCTTCACTTTTTATTTTTTTTAAGCACAATTTACAATAAAAACTACATACAGTATCTTAATCAAAAGCATTCTCAAAGTTGAAAAGTCAGCTAATACCATCTCTTTTTTTAAGGTATGTAAAAAATTAGATATTAGCAGTGCAAATCCTATGTGAATCTAATAATACATTGATTGATTATGCAATCAGGACCAGAAATATTGGAACAAGTATAATGTTTTGGCATTTGACCTCTGTACACCATCACAATAAAGTTGAAAGGAAACACCCCCAGATGGGAGCAAAGTCAGGGCTTTCAGCTGTAATTCAAAAGGTTTGACAAAAGTGGGGCACTAACCATTCAGGAAGTACAACCAGTGGCATACATACCCACACGGCTCGTAAGTAATGGAACAAATGGCTGACAAGCAGCTGCATAGCCAGATGTGGCCTGTTCCCTGGGTACCCCATGACCAATCATGCAGATAAAAGGCCTGGAGGTGGTTCTGAGTGTTATATTTGCATTTGGTAGCTGTTCACTGCAATTCTCAACATGAGGTCCAAAGAGGTGTCCATGTGAAGTGAAGGAGGCCATCATTAGGCTAAGAAAACAAAATAAACCCATCAGAGAAATAGAAAAACATTGGGAACAGCCAATACAACAGTTTGGAACATCCTGAAAAGGAATTAACTGGCAAGGTCAGCAACAGCAAAAGGCCTGGAAGACCACAGAAGACAACTACAGTAGATGACCGCAGAATTCTGCTTGTGGTGAAGAACCCTTTCACAACATCTAGCCAGGTCAAGAACGCTCTTGAGGAGGTAGGCATGTCATTGTCAACATCTATAGTCAAAAGATGGCTCTATGAATGTAAATACAGAGGCTTCACAACAAAGTGCAAACCACTGGTAATGCTCAAGAACAGAAAG